ATAGGAGGCATTAAGGCATTAATTTTACCGTAATCAATCAATATAAATTTTGGATTAATATACTTTCAAAACCAATTTATTGAGTGTTATTGCATGTGATGACGGATTTCCCTAAATTAATTAACTAGCTTTCTTAAGTCAAGTTAATCTTTCACTAGTTTGTTAAATTAATCATATCTCTATATAATTTTAAACCAACTAATAAGTATTAAATTCTATGAAAACCTCTAGCTTAAGAAGGGAGAGCTCCCAACTCTCTTCTCTTCCTGCACTACCACATGTGAGCTAATTACCTCTCGGTCTCATAGTCTAGCACACGGTTTATATTATTATTGGTCTAATCTACGCAATTCTTTCTCAAGTTTATGCATAAATCACTAAATCAATTGAAAGGTGATCAGACTTCCAATGCATTAAGTTCAATAATATAAACTCCTCACGCGAATAATTTTAATTGAAAGTATAAAATCACAAAATCTATATTGAATTGATTAGACTACATCATAGTCTTAATAAAATAAATCAGTTCATAATAAAAATAATAAAATATGAAATCAAAGTTATGAACATTCAAATATCAAACAATAGGTAAAAACCCAAAGAAAAACAAAACCCAATTTGAGGAAATCAAACTCTTTGATCTTCTATTGTTGAATCCTTTCTCTTGATCTTTAAGAATGCCCAAAAGAGAGCTGCAACCAGCCTCCCAAAACTCTCTCAATTCTGAATTTGGATGGGTATTTATAGGATTTTAGAAACTTTAATTGAAATAGAAGTAGAACTTGACACAGAAATAGGAAATTGAATTTTGAATGCTGATCGCGTGGTGCTGACACTTCGGATTACGTTTTTGACACAAAATAGGAAACAAAATCTGATTCTGGACGTTTAACGCATGGTGTCGATACCTCGGTTACGTGTCGACACTACACCCGTGTCGGGTTTCTGGTTTCCTTTTGCAATTTCTTCAATGGTAAAATAGTAGATTTGGTTCCTGACTTCTGGATTCTGCATAAGTTGATTCTCAAGTCTCTGATCTCTTCAATTTACTTCTAAAAAGTAAGATTTCTTCTAATTAAAACTTTTCATACACAAAAAATGAAAACCATGTAAAATCAAACAAAATTCCATAAAACTCATCCAAATATCAATAATATCAAAGTAAAAATTCCCTATTAATATGTATATAAATTTAGCTCATCAACCCTATCATAGATAAGGGACCCAAAATATAACACTTATAACATCAAAAGTAGAAAGAGAAGCAGCAGCAATTGTAAATGAACCAATTGATGTGTCCATCATCATCCCTTGTTCCACGAACAATGTTGACATCTGGGCATATGCAGCAAAAAAGATAATTCCAGTAGCCCAAATAGGAAACATGCGGATCAAGATTTTAAATTCCTCTACTTGTGTCACAGTGCAAACCCTCAACGGGTCCGAGAATTCCCCACTTTTAATTTCTACATCTGAGAGTATGGCAGCTTTATCAAGACACCTGCAGTAAAATAGATTTAAATAAAACTAGATATGAGAGAAAAATTCAACACAACAAAAATTTCGGACACCATGCTGAAACTTAGATGCAAGCACATCATGTGCTGTCCATTGATTTGATTATTTCAAGAGAATATCAGATCAAACAATATTGGAAGTGCATATTTCAGAATGTGTTCAGAACTCAGAGAAATTGAGGATGACAAATGTAGCAGATCCTTTAAAAGGGATGGGAATATAAGAGATTCAGAGAGAAACAAATCATGCATCAAATAGCATCCAAAGTATGATAATATGCATAAGTACAAGCTCTGGGGAAGTAGCTGGTAATAGGAGAACCAATTGAAAGAAGTATGACACTTTTCAAAACAAACCGATATTTCAAGAACAGATCACATGAAGCTATCGCTAAACTATTATTTTAATTTTTCTGGAACTTACAAGTTCCATTAGTAAGGATAACAACTATGCCAGACCATTAGCAAGCAGAGGCATTAGGATGGGGATATATGCATTTGTGTGTATGCATGTAAAGAATTAAATATACATATAACTCTTTCACCTGATAACTTTGCATATGGTAAAAGAATTTTTGCAGCAGCCCTCATTGTAAGGAATTTCCTTTCGTTTTCTTAACAGGGCACCATCTTTAAAATTGTTTAAATACAAGCACGATGGTGAGTTTAAAATTATATTTTAACACAATTTGTGCAAAACTGGTACATTGTGCATTGGATACTTCAAAAGCTTAAAGTTTAGATGGAGATTCAACTTATGCCAAGTGTCTAGCATAGCAACCAGAAAGAAAGGAGGATGTTCCAAGAGAGCCCCTCAAATAATGAATCAACTATTTTCAACTATACTTCAAAAATTTTAATTAGACAACAAACTCTTAATTTCTTAGTCCCTATTATTATTTGACTAACTGTATTGTATGATTAATTGTCTAACTCAGAAACATAATATATTGAAAATAATTCATGTATTGATAACTTATTGAGTAAATAATTCAGAAAGAAAAATATAAAAAAGAAGAGAGTTACTTAAACTCCTCAGTGTGTTCCAATTTCCGACTTCCTTCAATGGCAGAATGTTTGTCATGTGTTTCATATAAGAGAGTACTGTCAGTGGGTACCTCCAGATTCCGCTTATGAAATGATGCAACTAATACCTGGCATCTATAAAGCATTGTGCCTGAGAAAAAACTTGCAATTGCAATTCCCATAAATAATGCTGGAATGCCAAAGCCTAGGCCCCAACCAGCATTATCCTGAATCCATACCAGAAAACTGCTTGATATCAGAGCACCAATGTTGATAGAAAAATAAAACCAGTTGAAGAAAGAACCCTTCTTCACCCTTTCTTTGGGATCTGT